ACCTTTTATTAATTTCTGTCATTTGATATTCTTCAATTCATTCGATCTGACGATCGAAAATTAAAAAAAATATATGAAAAGTAAAATAGGATGTGTGAATAGCATACTCATTAAGAATGAGATTGTGAGAGAGAATAAGGTAAAACAAATTAATATAATGAGAATTAACAATGCTCAAGAGGAAATTACAAAGCGATTTAGTCAAGCTAGTTGAACAATATGTTTCACACTTCAAAATAATGTGTTCCACAGTTTATGTGATTTTAGTGTATCGTTTGTCCTTTTCTTATTAGGAAAACTAACGAAAAGTCTAAAAAAAACTTTAATTTTAATGAAAAATGACAAATAAAAGTGTAGTAAATAGTACCAATAAAAGGTAAAAATGTGATTTTTCGTTAAAAGTGAACATTACGGGGGAGTATTTCGTTAAAACTTCCATTTTTATTTTATAAATATATAGACTTAAAAGAAAGTGTATAAAATCTTGTATGACTTGTAATATCACTTTATAAAGGCCAGATATGGTGTTGCATTATTGTCTTGTGGACCCATTGTATTGAACCCCAAAATTGGGTTAACCATCCTAATAATTGATTAAAAATGGAGTTTTAATTATAATTGATTAAAAATGGAGTTTTAATTATAATTGATTAAAAAATGGAGTTTTAATTAAGTAGGGAAAATCAAACCCCCACCAAATGGAGTAGTCCTCTTTACTCGTGAGCAAAAAAGATCTCGTGTCTTGTAAGGTGGTACCGTGATAGTGATTAGGGGTAGTCCTTCCTCTAGCCATGTTGAGTAATATTGTCAATGTCAAAGATTTTACCGTTGAGATTCATTGTGGCTGACCAAGCTAACTTTGACCATAATAATTTGTTTTAGACTGATGTCATTCATACATCCGTTTTTACTTTCTACATCTCTTTTATTCATATTGTTATTTAATTTTTTTATAATTTATTCGATTTGACAGTCAAAAATTAAAAATTACGTGTGGAATATAAAAAGATGTACGGATACTACCGCTCTTTGTTTTACCCTATAGGCTTTTCCTTTGCTAAATTTTTCTTCACATCTACTTTTCAAACCTAAAAGCAATTCACCTTCACATTCACACCAAAAGTTCATCTATCACATCCAAATATGAAATAACATGATTAAAGCATCCGAGAGTAGTGAAAATAACATAAGGCTGACTAGGGCAACTCTCTCGTGCTATGTTAAACTAGTATCAAGACTGAAAAGATCAAAATTGTGAGAATTTCACTTTGTTGAATGACAAAATCATAGTATCTTACTTGCGATTTTGTCTTCTTGTAAGTATTTGTTAGTTGATAGTGTTGGGAAATTTTGGACACGTTTTAGCGTAGTTGATTTCTTCTTATTTTAACTTTGATCTCCATTGTTAAACGAAAAACTTCACCTGCGAGGAATACATATGTATTGCAGTCCTAAATTAGTTAGGAATGTGATATGTGTAAATACTAGTATATTATGTATAGGAATCTACAATATCTTTTAGATAGTTTCCTGATTGGAATTGTATTCCTTGGGGAGTAAGTTTTTCTCTGTATAAATAAAGGCACAAGGCATGGAGAATAACACACATAATTCATTGTTCCATCTCTCTTTTTTTCCCCTCTTTGCCACACCCTCAAAGAAAATAGGATCACATGTTATCAACACGCTTATGGCTGCGTAAGGAATTGAAAGATATTTTGCTACAAATCTGTTCACAAGATTCATCATTGCAACTCAGGTTCTACTAAAACACGGTCTATATTTTTTTAGCTTAATTGCTTGAAACATTCACCATTAACCATAAACCCTAACTTTCGATTACTAAAGTATATATTCTACTCAAATTATGTAAAATAAGATGCATAATTTTCCTTTTTCAATTACTCATAAATTATTCTTTTGTTATAAATTTCACAATATATCCATTGATAATCCAAACAGTGGTTGTTGTGGGGATCTTGCTTCGAATCAAATTATCACACATCTTTTAAAATAATCTACAAACCACCTATTCATTATATGTATATTGTAAATGGCTCAGTTGCTGCTAAGAGAACAAAAACAAGAACTAATTATTTGGTATTAAGTCTTGAGCAGCATCGGGACAATTGTACTTTGTTGTTTAGTAATACCAAGCTGCCTTCCTAAACCTTTATTTAATTGCTAACTTGCTTAATAATAAAACAACAAAATATTAATTAAAAGAATCTTCTTATCTTATTAGCTAAAGTAGACAAAGTTGTTCTATAATTAATTAATTAATTAACCTAAAACTGCATGCCATTTCATGCATTAGAAAATTGTCCACCCCATTTCTTTTGGTATATGTCTACAAATAATTTGTGTATTATGTAGGTGTGTGTACGTTTGGTTGGTCAATAGCTTTGTGCCACAATTGTGCAATAAAAATAATTAAAAGCATGCATTGACATGATCGTTATTTTATATATGTTTATTTGATTTATAAAATGATGAGAATGTGATTAATATCGGGTCGAAATTTAGGGATAAGTAATCTACAAACTTATAAACACGGTTATTATGTCACTTAATACTACTGTTTAGTAGTATTCTCTTTACTTGTAAATGAGAGATGTTATATTTGATTCTCGTCAAAAGCAAATTTGAACTCTATTATTGTTAGCTCATTATGAGGCTAAGCCCACTTTTTCTCTCTTAGTATCAATAATATCGTTTGAAAAGCACGATTGTTATGAACTTACGAGTGAAAACTTGCTTGTCGTATGCAAGATAATTGGATTATCATACATCTTTGGATACTAGTCTTTTTACCATAGATTAATACAATAATATTTATTTGAACAGGAGAGTGGAAATAGCTTTTACAAAACTATAAATATTTTTGATAGAGGATCAAACTTTATACAAGATGAAAACAGAAGGCTTGATTGCAATAATGGTTTTTGAACTTTACCTTTAGCTTAATTGTAGGCCATGAACTCTCATATTAATTTTTTTAGTTCTCAAAATTAGCAATGTGTTGCACCATTAGTCATTTTTACTAAAGCCTTTTTTTTTCTTTTTTTTTTAAGCTAGGGGTATATTAGAAACTTCAACTTAAAATTTCTTACAAATAAAAAAAATAAAAAAAGCTAAAATGAAAATAAAAATAAAAATTTATAAATTAATATCTAAAACTTAAAACAAAATGAAACTTGAACTATAAAAATACAAATGAAAATGATTGGACTTTAGCAACTTGTAAATATTAGGCAATGTGATTTCAAAGTTGGTAGGAGATCAAATTAGGGGCTGGACTTAAACAACTAACAAATCACATATTAAACTACAAAAAATTCCCATGTATTCCATTTTCTTACACACAAAAAAAAAAGAAGGTTTTTTAGGTTTTTCTTTCTTTCTTATTTCTCATTTTTAAATTCATTGTTAGTGATGTGGGATGAAGTTCCTAAATATCCCTAAATTTTACAGAAAAAATAGACGGCCTTAGTGAAAAATGACCAATGGTACAACACATTGTTAGATTCGAGGACTAAAGAAACTAATATGAGAGTTCAAAGGCTAAAATTAACCTAAAGAAAAAATTTAAGAACCATTGCTACAATTAAGCCAAAATAAAATATAGTCCAATTAAAAATAAAAATAAAAATAAACCCTTTTATTTGCATTCTGAAAATATGGGTCACGCATTTTATCTTAAAACTCATGCATACATTGCAGACATATTTTAGTATAGATAACATCGCTCTCCTATTTTTGGAGAAAATAGGATGATTTGAAGTGAGTTATAAAAAGAAAAGAATAGGATAAAATTTCACTTTCACATACTAAAGAAGGGAAAGAGATCCTCTCCGGATCTCTTCCTCCAAATCCCACGGATCAAATGATCCAAGTGATCCTGGCTCTTGATATTTGATCTAATGATAAAAAATTATTATAACTTTTAAAAATTTTTACTAACTATTCTGTTTTTAGCTATTAGATCAAATTTTAAGGACCTGAACCACTTGATTTGTGGGCTTTGGAGGAAGAGATCCGGAGAGGATCTCTTTCCCTAAAGATGGGGGTATGAATGATGGCAAACCCAATAATAGACCATAACTGTAAATACCCAACACTACGAGGACATAAATAGAGACACAAAAACCTTTGGCTCTCTAAAGCCATCTCCAACTGAAGGGTCCAGAGGGCCGAAAATATCCCAAAAATCGTCTCTAACCAAGGGCTAGGCCAGAGGGCTCATAGGCCTCATGGAATCTGAAAAGGCCAAAAGGCCAGAAGGCTGGCCTGTTCCAGCCAGCCCCGGGCTGGCCAGAATTTTGCTTAAAACTGTCGAATTTCCTGTCGGATATAACCGACAGGAATAAGTTTATCGCAATAGTGTTGGTTATAACCGACATGAATAGTAATGGCTACACAGGAATAATTTTGATTAATTGATCAACACGAATAGTATGAAAAATTTTAGCTAGCCGTTGTATCCAATTTTTTTTTTAATGAATTTAAAGCTTTTTTTTTTTTTCTATTATTTTCTATAACTTCCTATAACTTCTATTTTACAAAATTTGGTTCATATTTTTTTAAAATTCTATTTTTTTTTCTTATAACTTCTATTTTACAAAATTTGGTTCAAATCCAACGGCTAGCTGACGTCACTTAGCCGTTGGATTTGAATTTAAGTTGTAGTTTTTAAATAATAAATTATGTTTGGCCATTTGGCCCTCGGTTGGAGACGGTTTTTTGTGACAGGGCTAAAATGAGCCCTATGGCCCTTTGACCCTCGGTTGGAGATGGAGGCAAATATGACCATATACTGTTCATTAAAAAGATTAATATCTTATAGGGCCAGAGGGCTAAAACGAACCCTGTGGCGGGCCCTCGATTAGAGATGGCCTAATCTAACTAAATAGAATCACGAAAAATACGAATATTGTCTGATTACCCTCCACTTTCCACTTTTTCGTTTTTGATCCCTCCCTCTCTCATTGTCATCTGGTTATTCTCACTCGCTCTCTCTCTCTCTCAAATCAATCTCAATTAAACAAAACCATTTTCAAGTCCGACACCACACTGCGAAGAAAGTCGGTGGGGAAGAAAGAGAAACTGGAGAGAGAAAGAAAGCAGAAGCTCACAAGAGAAACCGAAACGAACTACCGTAGATTCTCAGAGCCAACGCCGCCGATCCAATCGCCACCTCAGATGCCGGCAGCTCCTCCGGCCGCATTATCGCCGGAATGACAGATCCTCAGCTCCTCGCCGCTCACAGGTCCCAATCCCTCTCTCGCTCTCTCTCTCTCTCTCTCTCTCTCTGAATGCTGCTTGTAACTGTGTCAGAGATTTATGGCTGTGTCGTCCTTTCGAGTGTTAACTTTCCGATCTCTCTCTCACTAACTTTTTCCGATCTCACACCTCTCTCTCTCTCTCTCTCTCTCTCTCCCCCCTCTGTGTTGGTGATAAGGGGAATCTAATTCCTTCTCACTTTTTAATTAGCTAAAGCTGAAGACATAGCAGCTTTCCTGAGCTTAATATTATCGCTTTTTGTTCAATTTTCGCTCAATGATTTCCTTGTAATTAGCTTGCCTTTTGGGTTTTATTTTGATCTTAGAAAATTCCAAACCTTTTGGCTTTTTTTTTCTTGCTGCTTTTTACGCATAAAAATTGATGTGATATTTGAATCCAATGTGCTCAATTTTCACTCGGCTTAACATTCGATTTGTATCTCCTGCCTCTCTCTCTCTCTCTCTCTCTCTCTCTCTCTCTCTTAATTGGGATTCAAGCTTCAAGCTTGTAGCTTTCAGGTTCGTTGTTTGTGTGCTGGGTTTGACTGAAATGGGAAAATATTATTTATTTATTTTTCCATAATTTCTAATCGTGTTGAATTGTGTGGCTTCGAATTGGGTTTTTTTTTTTTTTTTTTGCCCCCTTTAATTTCTTTTGGAAGATGTCATGTTGTTCAACGGTTTTTTTTATTTGGTTTGGGAGTCTTTGACTGCATTTGTTTTATTCCATTTCAACAAATGAAGCAGAAAAGTGATTGTATGTTGTGATTAATCTACTGAGTTTTGTGATCATACAGGGGTTGAAATGAACGGGATGCAGATCGGCAAAGCTCTTAACGCGGACAAGCCTTCCCCGGGATGCTTGGGAAGAATGGTGAACCTCTTTGATTTGGGTAATGGGGTTTCTGGAAATAAGCTGCTCACTGATAAACCGCACCGTGATGGTAATTCCTTTGATATAGTCTTTTATTAATAAGTCAATAGCGGCATATTCTAATCCTTTGCAAAATCGCTTTCAAATTCCTGTTGTAATTTTCGCTGTTCGTTATCCTTCTGGAGCTTTTGGTGATTGCTTCTCATGTGCTTTTGGTAATCATACCCGTCAAATATTGATCCATCAGTTTTGGTAGGCTCTTCACTCTCAAGGAGTCAATCAGATGTGGCAACAATGTTGGGCCCTCCCCCCTTTGGAGATCACATAGATGATAAAGTGGTAAGTGTTGCAGGATTTTTCTCTGATCAATGTATTTTTTAAACCAGCGCGAGAAACAATTCCAATGCGAAGTTGTCTTTTGTTGCTCATCACGTATATAATATACTGCAGTTTCCTGATTTGTGTTACATTTTTATGAGGTATTCAGATTGTGTCAGAGTTAAGAAGAAGTTCATCAAACAATAAAGCAAGTGGAACACCCATAAAGATCCTTTTAGACCGAGAAATGTCAAAAGAAGTGGTGTCTAAGAAGAATCCGCCCAACTTGGTTGCTAAATTGATGGGGCTTGATGCTCTCCCACTTGAGCAGTCCGATTCAGCTTCACAAAGAAGTCATACAAACAGTTATTCGCAAGGTACTAATAACAGCATGCCATTGGGATGTTGGCAGCAAGAAGATGGGTTTTTGGACAACGGAATTCCACGCGAATTTCATCAGTGTTCAGAGCAGAATGATTACAAAGATGTTTATGAAGTCTGGCAACAACCTCAGAAGGCAAATTATGGAAGAAATATGTCGCCGCAGAAGGGAAGGTATAATGAAAAAGTTAACGAGAAGAAGATGACTCTTGTTCGTCAGAAGTTCATGGAAGCGAAACGCTTGGCCACCGATGAGAGGCTTCGCCAGTCCAAGGAGTTCCAAGATGCACTTGACGTATTAAGTTCCAATAGAGAATTGTTCCTCAAGTTTCTGCAAGAACCTAATTCCTTATTTTCTCAGCATCTACATGAATTACAATCTATTCCTTCCCAGCCTACGGAGACAAAGCGGATCACTGTTCTCAGACCTTCAAAGATGGTTTCTAGTGAAAAATTATCAGGCATAGGGGACAAGAATGATGAACAGACAAAGAAATCAGCTCAGGTCAGTCAAGCAGCTGCATGGGACAAAGGCCACGATGGATACTCTCCTACTATTGTTGATCAGGAAGTTGATGGATATCCGGCTCCACCAACTCGGATAGTGGTATTAAGGCCTAGCCCTGGGAAGGCTAATGACATTAAGGCTGTGGTTTCTTCACCCACCTCATCACCAAGAGTTTTACATGGTGAAAACTTCTATGAGGAACCTGAAGATGATGAGGAGCGAGAATCAAGAGAAGTTGCAAAGGAGATCACGCAGAAGATGCGTAATAATTTGATGGGTCATCGGAGGGACAAAACTTTGATTTCCTCTGTATTTTCCAATGGCCATACCGGTGATGAAAGTTCATTTTACAAATCAGACCATGAATATGCAGGAGGAAATCTCAGTGATTCTGAAGTTATGTCGCCATCTTCTAGGCATTCATGGGATTACGTCAATAGGTTTGGCAGCCCTTTTTCTTCGTCCTCCTTCAGCCGCATGTCATGTTCGCCAGAATCATCCGTTTGCAAAGAGGCGAAGAAGCGACTTTCTGAAAGATGGGCAATGATGGCACTAAATGGGAATCCTCAGGAACAAAGACTTGCTCGGAGGAGCTCTAGTACACTGGGAGAGATGCTTGCCCTTTCAGAGATAAAGAAGCCAGAAAGATCTGAGGATGACAGTATTCAGAAGGAACAAGAACCAAGGGAATCAGTTTCATGCTTGCCTATTGATTCTAGAAAAGAAGATGGTGCTGTTGATTCTCCCAGAAGTCTTTTGAGGTCAAAATCTCTCCCTGTATCTTCTACAGTATATGGTGGCGGGGTCAATGTTCAAGTTTCAGATCCCGAAGCTGTAAAGACAGATGTTCCCAAAGAGCTAACAAAGGCAAAGAGCATGAAATCATCGCTAAAAGGGAAAGTCTCAAGTTTATTTTTCTCCAGAAATAAGAAATCAAATAAAGGGAAATCTAGCGAATCTCAATCTGCCCTTGCTGAACCACCAAATTCTCTGGTTCCTCCTGGCATAATTAGTGGTGATGCATCTCAGTGTGCTAATGATGGTGGTTTTGAAGGTTGTCTGTCTCCTGCTTTATTTGGATATTTAGGAAAAGAATCTCCACATGTAACAAGAATGGGACAAAACCAAGGCACCGTTCCACACGAGGTAGTTCAATCTTTCGTTTTCATCTGCTGTTAGTACTTGCCCTCTTTATTGTTGCAAATCCTCCTCCAAAACAAAAAAATTAAAGATCATAGGATTTATGTTGTTTGACCTGGCTCTGGGGCAACCTATTTGAAATGTTGATGCCTATGTTTGTGATATGCATTGTACTTGTCACAATGGAATGATTGGCATGGAAAAACCATAAATGCTGATGCCTATGTTGGTGGTTTTTCTTAAAACCTGAGTTATTCAGTGTCTTATTGTCATCACATGGATGGTTTATTTGATTTGTTTTTCGCTTCAAATTTTGCAGGCAGGGTTGTGTGTGGCAAAGCATGTGGTGCCCGGTTGTGTTGGTGAGAATCCGGATCAACCAAGTCCAATATCAGTTCTAGAACCACCGTTCGAAGAGGATGACAATACAGCCCAGGAATCCTCCGTGCATTTGAAGCAAGACCACCTAGGTCTCTCTCTCTCTCTCTGTAATTACTTTTTATTGCTTTTTCCTTAATTTCCTCATTAATTATTCTCTAATTTCATAACTTTTTTTTGTGGTAAAACAGGTAGACTTCTTAAGTCTAACTTGATTGACAAATCACCACTTATAGGATCAATTGCGCGGACGCTGTCATGGGATGAGTCTTGTGCAGAGACAGCCACACCGTATCTATTAAAATCCCCTTCGGTTTCAACTGAGGAGGAAGAACAAGACTGGCATGCCACTGTCCAGACTCTTTTATCCGCAGCTGGCCTAGACGGCGAGGTGCAGTGCGACTCCTTTTTCGCAATATGGCATTCGCTTGATAGTCCTTTGGACCCGTCTCTGAGAGACAAGTACTCCAACCTAAGTGACAAAGAGCCTCTGCATGAGGCTAAACGAAGGCGATTGCGATCAAGTCAGAAGCTTGTATTCGACTGCGTGAATGCAGCCTTGATGGACATCACCGGTCATGGGTCCGACAGCTGCTCAAGGACCACGTCATGCAGCGGGGCCCATGACAGGTTCGTAGAGGGTGATTCTCCTCTGTTGGCTGACCGTGTGTGGGCCCGAATGAAGGAATGGTTTTCTGATGAGGTGAGGTGTGTTTCGGATGGTGGCGGGGACATCAGCGGCCTGGTGGTGGAGAGGGTGGTGGAGAGAGTGGTGAAGAAGGAGGTTGTCGGGAAGGGGTGGTCGGAACACATGAGATTGGAAATTGATAATTTGGGGAGGGGCATAGAGGGGAAGTTGCTGGAGGAGCTGGTGGAGGAGGCAGTGGTGGATTTGACAGGGAGGACATGATGAGGATTTTGTTTCATTTTCTATTTAAGATTTTTACTGTAACTCTGTGTATTTGATTTTCGACAATGGTGGGCCCAAAAAACCCACCTTAATTGTTTAATGCCACAAAATGTTTCAGTTGATCATTATTTGATAAATGTGCCCACTCTCTGTTTATATACAAAATTGTTAAAAATCATTCTGGTTGCTGACTTTGGCTCACATTCAGATCTCTCTCATGTTTGTATGGTCTGGAGGTTGGGATATCAGTTTGTTGTTATGCTACAATAATAAAAACAACAAAGTCTTTTCCCAACTAAGTAGGGTCGGCTGTATAAATCGTAGAACGTTATTGTGCTCGGTTATGTAGTTTGTTGTTATGCTAAGGAGAGAAAATTCTATTATGCTCAAATGTACATAATCTAGTTCGCAAAATTTTACTATGCTCCAATGTACGGAATCTAGTGTCTCTCTTATAACCAAAATAAATAAAATGAAAGGCTTAATTACTCTTGCTCCACTGACATCAACCCGAATACTAAATGGCCTGCTCGGAAGCTTCTTTTGACCCACTTTGTCTTATAAAGTTGGTTTTTTGCGTTTCACTTTACCCTCTTCATCGTTAAAATCGTAGCAAGGACAAAGCTGGTTAGTGACAATTGCCCTATCTCTTAAATGGGGTTGTGAATTAAAGAGTACTATGATAGAATCAACGCTTCGTGTAGGCTTGATTCTTATTCTTTAGTGGGTGATAAGGGCTACGTGGCGATACCTGTGAAATTGAGTAGACCCTTCATATGATCCATTCGTCCTTAGTCTTAAAAAAAAACTCCGTTAAAACCGCTGACGTGGGACGCGCAGAGCTTCTTTTAAGACCAACTAGTTTTTCTTATATGTATGGGATTAATGCTATCACGTGTATGCTTAAGACTCATCTTAGTCCAAAATCATGGAAGTTAATAATTATGTTTGGAGAGTCAAGTCCTAATAAAAGCAGCAAAATATATGGAACATTTGCATTTGCCTTTCAATTATTCCTTCACTTGTACTCCTATATTGGTGTAACATTCTCCACGTTCGCACATGGGATTTCAATGCTAAAACCAGGTTGTAGCTCAATGCATTAATTCCCTGTAGTAGTTTGATTTGGTGATGTGGTGGTGGGGAGAGATTCTATTGCTTAATCGGTGATTAATCCTTTTGTATATACAGTCTCAACACAAGACGTACGTACGTGATGAAAGATGAAAATACAAACAGACACGTAGTTATCTCTGATTTTATGTAAGAATTTGTATTTTTTTTTAATACATCTATAATTTTACACTAAGAGGAGAGGAAGTTTGGTTGAACCATACAATAGGCAACCTAATTTGTAAACAAAAGTTATTCCCAAGTCACAGTTAGTAATTAGAAGAAAAAAAGGGGCGGATGTCACATTCCACAGAAATCTGAGATCAAGGTGCAATGAATAAGTTCACCAGATTCTCTCCGGATCCCTTTCACCTAATATTTCTCATCAAACAATCTGGATCCTTGAAATTTGATCCAAATGCTAAAAATAGGGATCCACTCCAAAAATTATAATAACTTTAACCATTGAATCAAATTTCAAAGAGTTGAATTATTTGATGAAGAAGATTAAGTAGAAAGGATCCGGAGATTATCCGTTTCCCACGGGAATTGCTACCGCCGCAGCCCCCAGAGTTAAAGCTATATATCAGAAACGTCAAAGATTTTGGTATGAGAAACAGAGAAAGAGAAGTGACAGAGAATTGCAGATGCTCCATTTTTCTAGAGTACGTTATTAAAAGTACAAATTCCTATTTAATGGGTCATAATGAGAGAATGAGTATTAGTATTTAATATAAACTCGTTATTTACGAAGAAAAGTGTTATTGGCATTTCAAAAATCACATTCTACACTTCTCACAAGTGTATTTTTCTTTTCAAATATAAAAAGTTTAAAGTGTAGAATGAGATTTTTAGAATGCTAATAACAATTCTCTTTACGAAATTCAAATTTAAAATTTCACTAACAAATAAAAAAATATCAATGAACTGTAATACTAAGTGACACACCAATAAGATGTTAAAACTTTTACTCCCATCGAAAGTTCTCCAATACACTGATGCCTTGATATATCCAATAACTCTTCAAAGTAGCATTCCAAAAAAATCTTTCTTTATTATCTTCAATAAAAGAATAAAAATAAAGATGAAATTAACTTTTTTTTAGTACTAATAATAATTCTTTTTTTTTTTAGTGTGGAATGAAAAATAATTCATAGCGTAGACATCTATTAAAAATAAAAATAAAAACAAAAACAAATGTGCTCCTGCACCACACCAAGCCACAGAACGGAGGCCAAGTAGTATAGTTAGTTTAAAGCAAAGGACAGGCAAAACAAATCTCGTGAGTCTGCCATTTCTATGTGTTTCCATTTCCATGGAAGGAATCAAATAATAATTATCAGCTTCATGGACTTCTTGACAGCTGAAAGAAAGAATCCACACTTCCATAGACTCACGGGATAAATGAAAACGAAAGGGTGGGGCTTCTCGTATACTCCGGGGTATCTTATGCACCAGGGGTTTTTGACCGTTAGATCCTTAGTCAAAAACCTCGTCATACAGGATACTCTAGAGCATAATGGAATTTCGATTCAATGGGCAAAGTTCGTCAATGTGGACAGCGGAGAGAATCTTATCAATACAACAGCATGCATAATTCAAGTGCAGACCCCTCTGAATTACTCAGGAATGATGACAGTAACAGACTCACAATGTTACATGTAAATCACAAGCTTTCTTCTTTTACAATTAATGACACAACATCTTTACCAGAAACACACATCCAATTCATACAAAGGAAAACCACCAAGAACACTTTTCGAGAGTTAGATATAAACACCATAACTTCCTCCAAAACAAAATTTTGAAAAACTGAAACGAGGGAACAATGATATATACTTGAGTATCAACAGAAAACCTGCTGATCGATGTTTCAGATCAGTGAGATGAAAAACCCACTACCATCTTTACTGCTTGGATTTCATACTCGGTGACGCATTCTGATTGAGAGAGCTCAATCCATACTGTGCAAAGTATACGAACGATGTGATTAGAGAATAAAAGATACTCATATTGACAAGATATCACGGATCAAGATTCGATATCAAAGTATACATTATGGCTACTCTTCAAACAAAATACCTTATCTCTTATCCGTGAGCTCCAAATGTCAGAGTGAGTCCCTTTCCCATCGCCCTTGGTTGATCCAGATGCTTGGTTTAATTGTTGTTTTAACAGGGGCTCCCGAGTTCTAGCCCTATCATCGTAATCATCTTCAACATCATAGTCAGGTTTGTGAGTAGAAAGCAAGCCTCGCAGAGTTATTGATAGTAGCAGTGATAAAACCTGACATTTAAAAAATGATGGGTATAAGAAAACAATTCAATGCAATAGTAATCTTCACTAGTGATATATAACTGCAAAGTATCTCCAATCCAAATACACTAAATACAATCAGTAATGCAATTTGGTCTGAGGCGTTAATCTTAATCGGTCTTAGCCATCCCATGAGCTTTCCTCTAAAGGTCCAAAATTTGAATTACAAATCATGTAAATGGGATAGTTCTATTGATCTTAGTCCTATGAAATTATAAACATAACGATAAACATCATCACTACATTGGACTTAGCATACCTGTATTACAATGACACTGAGCCCGACCCACCTACAGATGTCAATATTCTCTTCAACAAAAGATCGGAAACTGTCAAGTTGACCAGTTGGGTCAAATGGAAGATCCTGTGGAGGTATGAGAAACCAGATTATTCTGATAGGATAAAGATTAAGGATAAAACCCATGCACACATATTACTGAAATTTATTTGTCATCAGAAAACGTTACCTTTTCCCAACGGCGATCAATTAAAATGAATGCCACCAAAGCTGCTTCTAGTAGAGTGAGCAAGGTTATAAGTATTGTATACTGAATTGTTTGACCAGTTAAGAAAAAAGGTAGAACACATATCACCAAATGCAGAAGGCGCATTGAAAATTGGGTTCATTCAACTCAACTTGCATGACATACAAAGGACAATACCTCAAAACTATTAAGTTTGGAGCTAGTGGTAAAGCTTCTTATTATGCAATACAAATACTCTAATCCACTAACACTTTGTCTGGAGCTTAATACAAGCAGTAGGAAGTAGTCATCTAGCTTCAAAAATACAAAACCTTCCAACTAAACGAAAATGTGGGAATAAGATCACTGAAGCCTTTTGTTTCCTAGGGGCTCGTCAAATGAACACTACTACTTTAGAAGTTTCTCTCTTTTGTTGGTTTAATACTCTTAATAACCAACCAAACTGAGAACTCACAATTTATGAACTTGCCATGTCATGGGTCTCGAAACATTGATCTAAGTTTCAGAAATCGTAGCAAACCAGTAACGGGATACTAGCAAAACAATTTCTTAGCTAAAATTAGTGAAAGATTTATAGGCTAACTGGTTAAGGATACAAAGCAAAGGCAGCAGCCATTAATTGCTGCGGCTGCAATACAACCTATGAAAGTAACGCAACAGAGCAAAATCCCCAGTCCCATAAAAGAGTAGATGAACCTGCCAGCAAGAAACCAAATCATCAAATGAACAATAAAATGGGTCCCTTCGGAAACTTAATGATTTCTAAGCATCTAATGTATCAAAAAATTCAATACACCATTCCCAGAGCCCGCCAAAATCCACAACTCCAAATTAACGTATCAAAATCAGAACCCTGAATTCAAATTGCTTCAATACCCAACTCAAAAAACCTCGAACTTCGAACAACAATCGAATATGATTACATGAACCAGTTGAAACTCAGCTAAATTTAGAAACTTTGAAATTACCAGGGCGCGGGAAGCTTCAGCGAGTTCAATCCGAACCCCGATCCCTCATCGAACCCAGAAACCAAATGGACAGCAAAATCCAACGGCGTGATCTGATCGGCAACTGCAGCCGATTCGGAGCTCAATAGGAGGGAGGAGAAGGACGAAGAATCAGGAGAAGGAGCTGAAGGCGGTGGCGGGACTATCGGGATGTGGTGGTTCCACTGGTTGAGCATCCATGCCGAGTAGACTAAGATCGAAACTCCGAAGAAAGCTTGAAGAAAGTTGAGGAGTTTGAGGACGAAAGCTAGGGATACATGGCAGCAATTGGGCCGCATTCTGGGTATCTAAGAAATTGAGGCTGAATCAAAACCCCTAACCCTAAATTAGCTATGGCGCGCACAGTGTCAGTGGAGGAGGTGGAGTTTGTGGCAATTGGGGGCGTTTCCCTCCGCGTGAATTTTGCTTTTTTGATTTTGTTTCTATGTATCTACAATTTTCTGGTTTTTCGGAAAAGGGATTTTTGAGTCCAAGGCCTTCAGAAAGACCCTAAACAGAAAAAATCACCAGCTTTCAGAATGTGTTGTTGAAATTTACCAGTTGTGTTATTTGAAATTCACCGAGTTAAATAATGTGTTTTTGTTTACAACCGTTTTTAGGTATATTTAGTAAAATAAACAAAAGTTAATCAATCATCTCGATTGTTATAATTTGGTTTTTAAGTTAAAAACTTCATTACATGCAAAGGAAAACGTGTAAGAAAAATTGTCGTTGGAAGTGTTTTTAAATTAATTGAAAACACTGAAAGTGCTATTAAAATCAATCTTTAATAAAAATATAAGTGAATCATGAAAACAGTTGAAAACCAGAGCAAGTGACCCGGTGGTAAGGGCGCGGACTGCGGCTCCCCAACAAACACAAAAATGTGAGATATCCTAGGTTCGATGCTCCGATATGTTCAGTTTGCTTAACTGCACTCACAGGCGGAGTGAAATTTTCCATAGCCTGTCTAGGCCCAGAAGAGGTTGATAACCGTGACTTTTCACCAGTTATCCCTTTTCTTTTTTCTTTTTTTTCATAAATACACTTCAAGTTCTTTTAAAATTCAAAATTTCTTCTCCCAAAAATACTTTTAAACAAGTCTTAAATTTAGAATAAGTGTATCCCAGAATTTCAGTTTTTTAACACTTGTTTCAATTAACTTAGATACTAATCATTTCTTCCTTTTCTTTCAATACATTAAAAAAAGTATATCGAACTGAAGGCGAATGATCAAATTAATTACAATAATTATTAACATGAGTTTATTTAAGTTGGTTGTACCAGTAATTTCGAATATTTCTTTCTGTATTTTAAATGACACTTAGCTTGACTGGTAGTTATAAAAGCTTATGCTGGGCTAGATCACTTTTGTCTCAAACATCTAAAGCTGGACTCGGTTTGATACAAGAGCCCAGAAAAAATATTTATTGAAATCAATTCATTTTACATGTTTAACATTTGTGAAAATATCACTCAATACTATGGTTTTGTGGTATTTCTGTTTTATATTCAAATCTCATGAATAACGAATTTAATACCAAATTAGGTTGCTTATTGTGTGGCTTAACCAAAATCTCTCTCCTCTTAATGTAAAAATATCGATGTATTAAAAATAAAAAATAAAAAATAAAACATTTGTGAAAATATCTTCTCAAATTACTTTAGAACGGTTGGTTTCACTCAGATCCTTGCTATAATACGCTATTTTTTTAGGCTTTTTTTTTTTTTTTTTAGTTAAATCCGCATAACTAGCCAACTTATTTTTTGGTTCTATAAATTAAAAGACTGGGCGATTCTTATGAGTAGTATGTTGTTGAGAAGTGAACCTAGAATCTTTTATTTTTTTAAGTTGTCAATTACCATTTGAACTAAGTGATGCTGTCAGGATGCTTCACATAAAATTCACACTTAAATGTTGCTTTTATATTTAAAATTTACATTCTGAAACGTAAACGTAGTTTTTATATCCCATAATTCGAGCAACAATAATATGAAGGGGAAACTTAATATGAGTCCAATTTTATGAACCATTATTAGTTATAGTCCAATTTTATCTAATTTTTAGGTTAGGTCCAGTGATTCATTGTCCACATAAGCTTATTTGTATTCTCTTGCCAAATTTACCCTTAAATTGACCAATTAAGTAATTACTGTTTTTTTTAAGTTTGTGATTAATGTTAATCATATCCTTAATTATAGGATTAGGGATTTAAATCTCCTTTTTTTTCTTCTCCTTCCCCAAATCGTTCATTTCTCTTTTCTTGTTTCTCCCTCACAATATCTTTCTCTTCCTCTGTTATTTTTCCCAGTAGTCTTCTACCATAATATTATTCTTTTGCTCCTCCTTTCATAAGGATGATCAATATACATTTGATTGGTTTCTTTTAAAAAAAAAAAAATTGTATTAGTCAATCTTGTGTTTTGGGTTCTTCGTCTCATATATATATATATATATATATTAACTTTGAAGTTCTATCGAATTAGCATTCTCTCTAGTGTTTCCTCCCTCAATATCATTTTTCTTCACGATTTTTTTTGGTTTTTATCTACCTATATCACTTGTCCTTTATTTATTTATTTATTTATCTTTTTATATTATAATGTGCCTGTATCATGAATAATTGTATTTATCTACCTATATATTACATATTTTGTTGATAATCTATATAAGATTAATTGTGTTTATCTACCTATATATCACAAATTAACTGTGTTATCTACCTATACTATAAGTTTTTGTTCATAGTCTATCTGTATCATAGATTATTTTGTATTATCTATCTATACAATAGGTTTTTGTTCATAGGCTACCTCTATCATAGATTCTACCTACATCACAAATTTTTTATCTACCTCTAGCAATGTTTCTTTTAATTTTTGATAAACTTATAAGATTTGTAATAATGTCTTTTTAATTAAAAAAACGGGTAGATAAAGGTATTTGAATATTCAAATTTTAAAATTCAAATTTAAAGAATTAAAAAAAAAATTCCAAGGGCAAAATAGGTGTAATAGAAAATGAAATAAAATTGGACCCAATTCAAAAACAGCTGAATTTTTTGGACCTGAATCAAAGTGCCCCTAATATGAAATATGCCAATTTTAGAGTATTTGGCATCTCCTTGAAGAGATTTTTCAATGTAACTGTTACACGAGATAGTATACCACATATTCATATATAAATGATGGATTATGTGTGTTAAAAGCTTAATAACTTAAAAATTAAAATTTTCCATCATTTGCATAAAAACACGTAATTTACCATCTGTGTTCCCGTCACAGCTAAAAATTTCTCCTTCCATTGGGCTTAGTAGTGGGTATAAATAGGAACAAACAGTTGATCTCTTGAAGCATAAAGCAAAAGGAGGATAAAAGAAAATAGAAGGGGGAGGACGAAGCTGGAACCTTCCTGATTTCTCTAAACGGGTCTATTAAAAGTTAGGTCACTTTGGAATTTTCAAGAAATATCCCATGCGTATCTCCAACGTCCATGCCATATAAATACATAGATCAACCTTCACGCCCTGACAAAGCTAGCAGACACCAGACACCAAACATTGCCATATCGATATTTTCTTCTTCACTACACCAATCCAATATTCCAGTATTCCTGCTGACAAATAAACCATATAAGAGCAATGAGGAAACAACCTTCTCTCAATACTGTCATCACCTTGTGCTTTCTCCTTTTTCTTTCTAGGTCATCCAATGGGTCCTTGCTGCCGTTCTTGGATCGACCAGAAACTAGTTCTCTGGTCGATCTCTTGTCGGAGCGCTTTCCAGATCCGTTCCGAGTGCTAGAACAGCTCCCATTTGAACTTGAAAAAGAAGACAGCCTGCTGGCACTCTCACCAGCAAAAGTGGACTGGAAAGAAACGCCGGAGGGTCATGTTATAATGTTAGATGTGCCGGGACTCAACAAGGAGGAGCTGAAAATCGAGGTGGAGGAGAACCGGGTTTTGAGAGTGAGTGGAGAGAGGAAGAGGGAAGAAGACAAGAAAGGGGATCACTGGCACCGAGTTGAGAGGTCTTACGGAAAATTTTGGAGGCGGTTTAAGTTGCCGGAGAACGTGAATTTAGACTCCATCAACGCCAAGTTGGAAAATGGGGTTCTGACGGTGACGCTGGCCAAGTTGTCCCCTGATAAGATCAAGGCTACTCCAAGGGTGATTAGCATCTCTACCACCGGAGGAGGAGGAGATCAGGGTGAACCTGCCAAGCTCAAGGGTAGCGAGCCCCAGCAAGAGCTGTAACTTAGAAAGCAAGGACATTAAGTGCCTTGCTTCAAGTTTGGCTGATAAGACTCAATTTCATTTTGTGTCTTGAATTTGTAATGGTGTTGCTTACCGTTTAGCTAAGTTCTATCTTCATGACTTAAGTTTGGTTTGAGGATCATCTTGAAGTTATTCAGGATGTCATCTTCTAAGACTCCTCTTGTAATTGAGTTTGAGCTTTTCGAATAAAACTGTCATTTATCTTACAAAATGATAAATAAATAAACACATAAATATATAAAGGCCAAGAAAATTGTCCAAGTTTGATTCAATAAATTTGTTAATCTAAAGGAATAGAATGAGTTTGTGCATCGCTAAAAGGAAACGGCATATACTCCTCCATATGCATAATTTTATTTAATATTTTCATTTAATTTACGAGTGATGCTAAAGAAATTATCTTTTTTTTATTATAAGTTGAATTCTTTTTTTTTTTTTTTAATTATTAAAAAAGTGTCTAATTATCAATAGCTAATAGTTTATAGATCGGAACCCAAATTTTGAAAAAAAATTTGGATCCGGATTTCGAATAAATGCTTGAAGAGTACAAATTTGATACGAGTAATATGGAGTATGGAGAGAAGAGAGAGAGAATTGTAGATCAGAAATCTGCAATTGCTAAACCATTTCCGCCGCATCCATCTCTGCAATTGCAGACCTCTTCTCCAGCTGCGGCCATCTCCAAAATTGTAGATCAGAAATCTGCAATTGCAAAAATGGAGATGGCCGCAGCTGGAGAAGAGGTCTGCAATTGCAGAGATGGATGCGGCGGAAATGGTTTAGCAATTGCAGCTTTAGAACCTTCTTTTTTTTTCTTTTTCTTTTTTTATTTTTTTATTTTTTTAATCTTTTATTTTGAGTGTAACAATATATAATATACTAAGAATATTGAATATCTTCAACTCATGAGATAAAATTTAAAATATAAACTTCAAAACTTCCCAAACGATCTCAACCATTAGATAGGATTTAAGCGGCTTAAATTATTCTGGATTCACTAAATTATAATATTTCAAAACATTTTTTTTTTTTTACTTATAATCTAACGACTATGATCAAATGAGATTAAATTTAATAGTAAAAAAAAGATTTGACGACCCAAATCAAGTCTAACATCTACAACAATTTTAAAAAAATATTTAAATCAAATATAACTTAAAACTTTATAAATACCTATATATTTGTAAGATATTAATTAGTTATTGGAATTTAAATATTTTTTATTAAAATGTTTAGAAA